CGTCCTGTTGACCCTCAGTCGGCCAATAAGCTGAAACCTCCGTCCACATCTGACTCTGTCTCACCGAACAGGACAAAAACCAACAAACACAAAACAATCACCACTCACAGACAAAAATAACCGAAACTGCCAGACATCACACCACATTTTTACGCATACCGAATTTCCTAGTTCTCACTTTATACCCAGATAAAGCTAAACACACACCTAGCTGCTGCATTTATATGAGGAGACAGGAGGATGTTTTAGGTCTCTGGCCTTCAGACTGCCGCAAACCCCCAAAACCAGTCGCCCCCCAGCCCCCCCGCTTCCTGTGCATGTGTGCGTTTTCAGTTCTTCTGTATCGTAACAGCTAAAGAAAACCCACCTAACATTGAAACGCTATTTTAAAAAAGAGAAAAGATAAAAAAAGCTGTGTTTTTGAGGAGAAAGCATCCTGATAGTTTCCCTCCTTTCTGCTTCATGGCTCTTCCCTCATCTGTTCTTTTAAGTGCAATATTCTCTTTATCGCTCTCTAAACGCTTATAAAGGTAAAATAGAAAACTGATTTATTGTTGAAAGGGGCAACGTGTGGTGTGAAAACCAATAAAAACATAATTTACTGAAGAGAAACGTCTCCCTCTTGAGTTTTCCAGTTTCATGTGTGTGATTTTTAAGCCAATTTCAGAGGCCGAGAACAGAAACTCATCCCAGCACAGAGTAACATGTTAGCATTAGCCATTAGCCTGACAACAGCATGCTAGCTATGCTAACATACCCACATGAGCTAGTTAGCCTTAAAGATGAGGGTTTAATTAAAGGGATTTGGACCCTGAAGACCAGAAAACATGCCAAGCAATGTTTTATTTATAATGTTATTATTATTGTCTCTTATTATTGAATTATATTTTTTATTATTAGACTTTAATTAGTGTAGCAGCCTTTATTAGCTAAGCTAGCTAAGGTTAGCTACAAAGGACAATCTCTAGCTAAGGTTAACTAGGTTAGTCCTTTAGGTTAGGTTAGACCCAGAGAGGACCAGAGAGACCAGAGAGACCTGGAGAGGACCAGGCTCAAGTTCTCCCTCCAGCGTGGATCATTAAGGGATCATTAAGGGTTGTGAGCGCACGTGCACGGCTGCCGTGCGCAGAAACAGGACAGAAACCGGAGTGTGTGTCATAGTTTTACTTACAGGACACGCAAACGTAACATGTTCCACATCTGAGCAGCTCCGCCGTGCACGGCCCCCCCCCCCCGCTCCCCCCCCGCCACGTGCCCGCCCCCATCACGCGCACACATGCTACATCACTGCCCCCCCACCCCACCCTCACCCACAGTTTTTTCAGCTGTAACAAACACGATATGACTATTAAAAATACAGTTTTTCTCCTCTTTAAAGTCTGAAAATAAATATTTTATCTTCTTCCTCTCCTCTTCCTCTGGAGCTCCTCTTCCTCTGGAGCTCCTCTTCCTCTGGAGCTCCTCTTCCTCTCCTCTTCCTCTGGAGCTCCTCTTCCTCTTCCTCTGGAGGAGCCGGGCCCCACTTCCTGCCTTAAGACTCCCACCAGTGATGGTCCGGCAGCCTGCCGCCCCCTGGTGGACAAACCCGGGACTGCCGGCTGTTTATTAGACAAAGTCCAGCAGACTGACCCGTAGGAGGCGTTTAGACCCGGAGGAGGGGGGAGTCCTCCTGGGGGGGGTCAGGGCTGGTGGTCCGGGGGCGTGTCGGGGTGGGCGTTGCCCTCGGGGCCGTCGGCCCACAGGTCCAGGGACTCGTGCGTGAGGAAGAAGTGGTCGGGGCCCTCGGGGCCCTCGGGGGACTGGGGGGTCTGGGAGCTGGAGCCCGCCTCGCTGCTGCTCTCCCGCAGCTCCAGCAGCACGGGCAGCGAGCCGGGGGGGCAGTAGGCCTCCGCCCGGCCCAGGGCCAGCTCCCCCAGCCCCCCCGGGCGGGGGTCCGGGTCCGGGTCCGGGCCCCCAGGGGCGTCCCCCCCCGCCCCGGACGCCGGCCCCCCCTCGGCGCCGGCCAACAGCTCGGCCCCGCCCCCCGGCTCCTCCTGGTCCTCCGGGGAGTTGTTGGGGGTGAGGGGGAGGTGGGCGGGGCCTGTGGGGCCGGGGGGGCCTGTGGGGCCGGGGGGGCCTGTGGGGGGGGCGGGGTGCGTCTCCTCGCTGCTCTGGGGGGTCAGGGACACCTTGTCGCTGAAGCTGAAGCGGGGCGAGGTGTCGGCCGTGGTGGGGGAGGACGGGCCGGCGCTGGACACCGTGCTGGACGGCCCGCTGCTGTCTGCAGGGACAGACCGCCAGCATGGAATAAAACTTTATTTATAAATACAAAGGCTGGACAGATGTCACAGTTAGGGATGGACTAAAGTCTAAATTTATTTAGCTACTCACTTGGTTGTCAGACTCATGTTGAACAGGGATTTACTCACATTTTTCAGGAAAAAAATTCAATTTAGCATATTTTGTGGTAAATAAACTGTAAATTTTGCACATTTTGGAGTAAAATATCTCAATTTAGCATGTTTTATGGTAAATAAACTGTAAATGTTAGCACATTTTGGAGTAAAAACTCTAAATTTAGCATGTTTTATAGTTAAAAAATAAATAAATTTAGCACGTTAGGGTAAAACTCCCAGCCTATCAGAGCCTGTACTAAAGTCTAAAGTTATTTATCTACTTACTTTGTCAGACTCATGTTGAACAGGGATTTACTCTGATAACAACTTAATGGTTAGGACACAGACCTGTGGTTACAGATGCTAATGCTAATGCTAATGGTGGGATCATTAAAGGAAATAAGGTAAAAACTAAAAGCTAAAATACACAAACACAATGCAATAGAATAGAGTGAAAATCCTTTGGAGGAGCTCAGTCAGATACTGGGGGCCCTTAAGAGCTTTAAAGACGAACGATAACATTTTAAAATCAGCCATACTCACACCAGGGAGGCTTGTCTGAGCGAGACCTGATGGAGATGGAGGAGGACAGCACCTTCTGGGGCATGTAGGAGTCCACCGACGGCTGGTTGTGGGAGCAGAACATGGCCGTCAGAGCTGCGGGGGCAGAGGAGAAGAGAGGGGTCAAAGGTCACCGTCCTGCGGCTCAATCAGACCCACTGTCTTTACAAAATCTGAGCCTCTGACCCAACCAGAGTCCAGAGAATCAGAGCTCTGTCTGATTGTCCTGAAAGTCCTCTAACTTTATTCCAGAGCTTCAGAAAAACTCTAAAATAAAGCAGAAAAACACTTGATAAAGCAGAAAAAGTTTTACACTAAAATGATGGAAAGACCTCAGTTTTTACACCAGAAGCTGAAATAATCCCACAAATTAATTTGTAAATCAGATGAATAACTAAATGAAATAAATATAACTCAGAATATCTCAAATTTAAACGTTAAATTTCAGCTTTTCACTTCCAAAATCAGCTCTGATTTCCACTAAATGAGTCATTTAGTCATTTCTCCTGTCTCCTCTCCTCTCGGTGGTCCCGGTCCGGTTCGGTCCGGTCCGGTCTGGCCCGGTCCGGCCCGGTCCGGTCCGGTCTGGCCCGGTCTGGTCCGGCGGTTCCGCTCACCCCTGCTGGTCCGGCTGTGGGGGTCCCCGGCGCTGTGGCACACGCTGGTCAGGAACTCGTCCACCTGCTTCAGGGACAGCGAGTTGTGCAGCGTCTCCAGCGGGTAGATGGAGGGAACCATGGAGCAGCCCTCGAAGCCTGGGGCACAGGAGACACGGGCCAGGACCGGGTCAGAACCCACAACCGGGCCAGAACCCAGAACTGGGCCAGAACCCAGAACTGGGACAGGGCCGAGAACCAGGCCAAAACAGGCCCAGAACCCAGAGCCCAGGGCCCGGTCAGAGCCCAGAGCTGGGTCAGAGCTGGGCCAGAGCCCAAAGCCAGGTTAGGGCCCAGAACCCGGTCAGAACCGGAGTCAGAACCGGGTCAGAACCGGGCCGGCCGGCACCACGTCACGCTGCCACTCGCCGCCCTCTCAGCCCCGACCTGCCGCTGGCCTCTCGTCCACACAGGCAGGTGGAACAGAACCATGCTGGGCGTCCAGGCACAAGCAAGCTAACGGCTAGGCTAACGGCTCAGCTAACAGATAAG